TTTGATTTCTTTGCTGTGAAAAATACTACACACAAAGGGGAAAACGACACGAGGGTAAAAAAAGACAAGGAAAACTTATCCTACCAGCTACCATGTCGGATGCCGAGCAGCGGCAACAACCCAAGCTATAAATCCGGACAGGAAAAAAAAAAAAGCAGGCGATCCAGCAGAGCTCGCTAAATTTCATCTTCACTCGAGGCGGAGAGAAATTAAGAGTGATGGACGGCTACCTGTGGCGTTGCCAGGTGGCCTCGGTCACGTGGGGCTTCCCCTGACCTGGATTCTATCTCTCCGTCACCGGCAGAATCGCTGATTAATGCCTACAGTTCAAAATAGTCATTTTGACTGACTGGAGTCTATGGTGGGTAATTGAACGTAGTGAATTTCCTTATTTCGTAGCTCACACCGACTGGCCGATCTTCGACAGAGAAATATTGCTTTCGAATACTCTTACTTAATCGAAATTGCCTATCATCAAATGTGGACAGCACATTATTAAGCATGGAAATGTCCCCAAAATACTTTTGCGTTTGTCGAATCCCACGCGATGTTTGACGCGACTACGACGCTATGACCTTTGTTTGTCCTGTTTTTATGTTAGATTTCACGCATAACGCGTGATTCTCGCAGTGTACGGAAAATGGTCTATTATTTCACTCAACTTCAAGTCTCCTGATTAGAGCTTTTCAAAATTTCTGCTTAGAACTCTTCCCAGGGGAATTTGGATTACGAGTACAACATGATCTAAATCCTACTTTAAACCAATAAACTTTCCTTTGTGTTTAGTGCCGAGCTTCTTTATTGAGAGAGGGAACAGCCAAGAAGCCTTTACGAGGAAAATGTGAAAACTCAATGGATTATTTACGTTATCATGTAACATGTAATATTAGGTTTAGAGTCCAAAAAAGTGAACCAAAATGCGTTAGAGGCATACCTAATGCAGAATTTGATTTGCCAGTAACTCCTCGTTTATTCTATTGATTTGCACATAATGGCCAGAACACGCATACATTTCATAATATTATTTTTTTCTAAGTTTTGATTCTAGGTAATTTATACATTGCATGTCAATGTTCAGACCATCACAATGGTATGATTGGGTTGCCAGATTGGGGAATAGAGGTATCTGTCCTAATTAATGATGTACCTGTCCCAAGCAAGTTAAATTAAGACAATATTACCCCAATTTGGCCAGTTACTAAAAACTTGATGACAACTGTCCACAAAGACAGACAATTTCTACATTTACTTGTTCAATCTAAAATCTACCTGACTGGGAAACCTGATAAGGTGATAATCAAACCCTGATATTTTAGAACATGCAACATCACAGTATATTACATAATGCAAATTTGTTCATCAGTTTTGCTGAATCAGCTGAAATACATACTTTCTGTAGTTGATATACCGGGCAAGGAAATCGTCTGTAGATGAGGTGATGCGCTGGTTGGTAATGTCTCTAGAAACAATTATACAAGGGATTCATTACAATGTTTGCAGAACTGGATGCATACTGTACTGTATTGTATTGTATTGTATTAGAAACGCATAAAAGCTGGAAAAGTGGTTCCATCAGAAGCACAAAAATGTCAAAAAACATGCTTGTTTGTTTCTTGCTATTAAGTTCTCACCGAAAATAATTCTTACCGTTGAATTTGATGATTGTATGTAAAATAAAATGACATTAAAATACAAAGAAAATTAAAGTACTTGTGCTTCTAAATATGGTACATGTGTCAAATTTGCTAGTTTTTCAAAATATTAAGAATACCTAAATTTCAAGGTTGAACTTTGATAATGCAGAATATGGATTCAGAAACTGATAGACCTGCCAGCTCCCATCCTTACCTTGTGCTTCTTCTCCTGGAACTGGTTGTTCCAGACCCGCTTCAGGGGCCGTTTCTTCAAGATCTTCAGGGCCTGGTTGTTGCATACCTGCTTCAGGTGCAGGTTGTTCCAAACCTGCTTCAGAGGCTGGTTGTTCCAAACCTGTTTCAACTGGTTGTTCCAGACCTGCTTCAGAGGCTGGTTGTTCCAAACCTGCTTCAGAGGCTGGTTGTTCCAAACCTGCTTCAGAGGCTGGTTGTTCCAAACCTGCTTCAGAGGCTGGTTGTTCCAAACCTGTTTCAGGCGCAGGTTGTTCCAAACCTGCTTCAGGCGCAGGTTGTTCCAAACCTGCTTCAGTGGCTGGTTGTTCCAAACCTGTTTCGACTGGTTGTCCCAGACCTGCTTCAGCACCTGGTTGCTCAAACTCTTCTTCTGGGAGCTCTTGGTCTGCTGCTTGCTCTGTATTCACATTTTCTGACTCGTGGGCCGCTGCTGGAGATTCTGAAAAAACAGTTATATATGCCAATCAAACTATTGATTTGAACGAATCTAACTTCCAACAATCTCCAAAACTGGTGAGCATCATTTTGTTTGTCTTATAATCACGAAGGACGAAATGCTTTGTTCCTCTTAGGGTACATTTCAATAGTTTAACTACAGTTTACTAAAGTTTCTGAGGGAGTGCACTTTAACAGTTTTATCAAGCAATTTTGATGATTAGAGCAACTTTGCGGGAAAAAAACAACAAAGAGCACTGAAGTATATTTTAGGTTTGTTTTTACCATCTGAAAAAAACCTAATTACGGATACTGTAAAATACTTTATTTTAGCTGGATTTACATTTTGCTTAAAGGAGTTTTTTGGTGATTTGTATGGAATTTATTTTCACTGATTTTTGACAAGTTGAATGTAAAATATTGGAAAAAAGGTATATTCGCTGGATTTTATTTATACTGAATCACTACATTCTATAGCATTACAGTGCTTTTTACATGTAACATTGTTAGGACAACATTCTTAACTGTGCTGCATTATCACCATTTTATTTATTTCAATTTGTAATATCATTGTTGCCATGGTAATGTAGCATACATGCAGTTATTCCTCTCAACTACCCATTAGCTAGAAAACTCCCACAGTCACCAGTGAGGGCGCTATGATCATAAGTATACTTTTACCTTCAAGTTGTTGAATTGTGATTTTAATCTTTGCAATGTCTTCTTGCATATCCGTAATGGTGTTAGTCTGTGTTGTCATCTGAGTCCATACAGTATTCATATTTGTCTGTAGTTGACTTATCACTACACCATTTTCCTCTTTCATCTTATCCGCTGCATTCTGTAAAATCTGCTGCATGCCGAGTGTGGTATTCACGTTCAAAAGGTTGTTATTCAAATCATTGGGGTTCAACTGAAAAATAAATATAAAAAAATAAATAAAACATTATTACCCCTATTAATATGAGTGATAAATATTGATCTCTCCTAGTTCATTTCTTGTGTCTGATGCCATTTTATGAGTTAATAGCCTCTGACTTCATAACATCTGAACACTTTGATTGACGATAAAGATGAATGATGCTTTTCAATTTGTTTCTCCACTGCGGGATAATTTAGATCTAACTCGTAAAGATTGCATTTTGGCTCGTCGCTTTGCAGTTATTGTCCTTGGCCTTGGCTATAATCAAGAATTATATTGTTCCGTTGGCTAATAACAGCTAACAGGGACATTAATTCTTGACGTAACACAAAGCCAATAATTGTATAGTAGTGTTAGAAACATTATTATTGTTATGAGACAGAAAAAATGACTTTCCTTGAAATAGCACTTGTGTAAATTACTAGAGATATACACCTTCTACATTTCCTGAAGCACTAGATTTGATTTATATACTTTGGAATACTTTATTTTCGCTGGAATTAATTTTCGCTGAAAAGGCTTTTTGGAAGTTTTGTTTGGAATTTATTTTCACTGATTTTTGATGAGTTTAATGTAAAATACAGGAAAAAAAGTATATTCGCTGCATTTTATTTTCATGGAATCATCCCTTCAGCTAAAATAGCGAAAATAAATTCCAAGCGAAAATAAAGTATTCTACAGTATTACAATTCACATTATAGACAAAAAATATGTAATTTTCAACATTGCTGTTGATGAATACACTAGATTATAATTCATCATGAAACGATACTCTTGAAGCACACAGTATTCTTTCAATGAAACTTCGCATGTGCAAGGATTTGCTTTGATATGTACAGCAAAATAATCGCTGCATCTGTGTAATTTTTCTTTGAAAAAATACTATAGAGTGTACTGCAAAAGCTAGATTATTAGTTTACAATAAATCACAATCTTCTCAATATGCTGCATAAAAAAATGAACAATTTTTGTTTTTATTGCATCTTTAAAGGTTGGGCTCACAAAATTACCAATGAATATACTGTAAAGAGATTAATTATTCACTGGGTTTTAATTTGGCTTATTTCGCTGACTGGAAAAAGTGCTAAATTAAAACCCAGTGAATATGTAAAATTTAGCATAGAACACATTATCTAAATGATAAAACTGAATTTAAAACCGCCTGAATATGCCTGAAATGGTAAATCAGCGAAATTTAAACCCAGTGAAAATTAGTCATTTTACAGTATATTGATAACAACTATTTGTATATTTACAGTCAAACTAGTAAATTCCAACATTTGTCAAAATTATGTTAGTTACATTTTTTTGTGACGATAAACTATTAGTTACAATCATCAGTAATGTTTTTGTGTACTGTGTTGAATTAACTGACTATAACGCATACAGAAGTCTATGATGTACCAATCATAGAATAGCAGAATATGCACATGCGTAGTTCTTACGACAGTGTTGCTTTAAACAAACGTGCACATGTTCAGAAGGATGAAAAAATGCTTTTGAGAAGTGGTGAAATCATAATAAAGCACCATAGAACGTGACAGAAATCGCATTAGGGAC